CACACACACACAGACACACTGCCCCACCCCCCCAACACACACACACACAGACACACTCGCTTAGACACACACTCTCACTCTGCCTTCTTGAATCGCTGCAGTCTACCTGCTGTGGATTGACCGATAATGCCATCAGGGAGGGAATTCCAGGATTTTGACCCAGCAAGAGTGAAAGACCAGCGACAAATGTGGTCAAGACTTTGGAAGGTGCTATCTGAGGATCTTTGGTGAATTTCTGCAGTTCATCCTGCATATAATACACACTGTTGCTACTCAGCATCTATGGTGTTGGGAGTGGATGCTTGTGAATGCAGTGTTAATCACATGGACTGTTCTACCCTGGATAGTATCGAGCTTCTTGAGTGCTGTTGCAGCTGCACCCATCCAGGCTAACAGGGAGTATTCCATCACACTCCTGATTTGTGCCTTGTAGATGATGATTATCGAGGCTTTGGGGAGTCGGGAGGTGAGTTACTCACCACAGTACTCCTAGCTGGTAAATCTGGCACACAGCAGAAGCTAAAACATGGCAAGTGCAAAGCTTCATCAAGAAATTTAGAAATTTAGAATTGTCGATGAGATTCTCAGAAGAGGTCTAATCAACACAAGAGACTTCTGGGTGGTACTGCAGAAGGATAATTTTAAAAACAGCTAAATGAAATGTTTTGGTAGTTGTGGATGAGATGGCCACAGCTGTTTTTGTGGAAGCATGAATGAGGATGAGTTAATGGCTTTTCCTATCAGAATCTATCCAATGATTTTGCGAATTTTAAAACAAACCTTCTGTCTTTGATATCCAAGTTTCATAAATTACTGGGGTAATTTTTCTTTCATCTGTGCAGCCACACACACATTCAGCCATACTCTATTCTAGATTTATGAAAGAACGTATATATCAAATAAATACAATAAATGCAGCAATACTTCTTGCTAGCAGTTACCATGGCAATCGGCATTGCATCCAGTTTCAGGATTATCTGGTGCAAGTGAAGAAAATCAAGTTGCTATTTAAAGTCTATAAGGGAAGAGGAAAAAACTAACTGATGGAAAATTAAACAGCAGCCCAGATCCAATTGAGAGCTCATGAATGTTTATTTCTGATCCTGCATAATGCCAAACAGGTTCCTTCATATTCTGGAACTTCCAGTTTTGTTTTTAAAACCAGCAACTCCAGTAATTATCTATACAAGTTAAGGATATAGGCTCTGTATGACAGCATCTTTTCCCCTCAGTTACACTGCTTCGATTTGTAGTTTCCTCTTGTTGGATCCTTTTCTTAGCAAAATGAAAGCATTTTCTTTCTCAACAGTACAAAGACTTGCGTGACCTAAAAGTTTATTGAAGGGCTTTCACACTCTCTGAAATCCTTGGAATAAAATAGCTGTGCAGAAAAATGGTCCTGAGAAGGGAAGGATATATAGCGAACTAGGTTGAAAGGAGGAATTAGTGTTCATTGCAGAAAGGAGTGTTGGAATAAAACCGAGAAGAGGTTTCTTAAAGCTGAATACTTCAAAGCTCATGTCCATAATAACTCCGGGAAGAAGCTATCTACAGTCCCAGTTTCGAAGTTCAAGTCACAAATGACCTAAAATTACCAAGATGTTAGATACAGGGACAATGTTGAGTATTAAATGAGTTGTGTTTTGGGGACTGTATCAGGAGTGTACCATATTAAAGCTGTTTTATTTCTTTTCAGTTCATCAAGGATCTTTGGGATGAACGAGATTATACTTGCACTACATGCTTAAACATCTTAGACTCTATTATACAAGTAGAAACTTTGAACCTGATTGCAACTTCAGTTCAAACATGAAAAAAAGAATTGAATTTCAAAGGTGAGATAAGCCTTGACATCAAGGCTGCAATGGCAGTGTGTGGCATTAAGGAGCCCTGGCAAAACTCGGGTCAATGAGAATCGGGGTAAAAAAAATCTCTGATGCTTCAAGTCATACTTGCCAAAAAGGATGACAGACATTGCTGGAGGTCAGTGTTCTCAGCTCCAGAACATCTGTGCAGGAGTTCTCAGCAAAGGCCCAACCATCTTCAGTTGCACCATCAACGATCTTCCCTCCATCATAAGGACAGAAGTGAGGTTGCTTGCTGATGATTGCATTCTGTTTGGTATTATTCATGACTCCTGAGATTCTGAAGCAGTCCTTGTCTAAATGAAACAATTCCCTGACGATTTCCAGCATTGGCTGACAAGAATAAATAACATTTGTGGCACAAATCTCCAGTAAGAGAGAATCTAATCATCGGCTCTTTGACAATCACTGGATTCAATGTTATCAACATCCTGACATTACCAGTGGCTACAGACTGAACAGGACTAACCATATGAATACTGTGGCTTCAAGGGCCGGTCATTGGCTCAGAATCCTGCTGCAATTACCTCACCTTCTCGCTCCCCAAAGCCTGTCCACCATCTACAAGGCACAAGTTAGAAGTCTGATGGAACGGTCCCCACTGGCCTGGATGAGTACAGTTCCAACAGTCAAAGAAGCTTGACACCATTCAAGACAAAGCAGCCACCCACAGACATTCATTCTCTCCAACACTGACATTCAATAGCAGCAGCGGGTACCATCTACAAGATTTAATGCACAAATTCACCAAGGCTCCTTTGACAGAACCTATCCAGTCTAAGTCCACTATCTAGAAGGACAAGGGTGGCAGATACATGGAACACTACAACTACGAGCTCCCCTCCAACCCAGTCACCTTTGTGACTTGGAATTGTATCATCATTCCTTTGGTGTTGCTGGGTCAAAATCCTCGAACTCACTCCCTTAACAGCACTGTGGGCCTACCTACACCAATGAACTGCAGACGTTCATGGCAGCAGTTCAGCACCACCTTATTGTAATATACACACGAGCCCATCCAGTGCCACTCACACAAGAATTTTTTTTAATTAGTCAGCAATAACCTGCTCAATGACACTCCATTTGGGTTCCACCAGGGCCACTCAGCTCCTAAGCTCATAATAACCTTGGTTTAGCCATGGAGAACATGGCTGAACTCCAAAAGGTGAGGTGAATGTAACTGCTCTTGATGTCAAAGTCACACTTCACCAGAGCGCAACAAAGAGGTCAAGAAAAATTAGAACCAGTGGGAATCAGGGTGAACACTCTCCCCAGATTCAAAAAGTGGTTGTGATTATCAAAGATCAAGCACCTCAGCTCCAGGATTTCATTGCAAGAGTTCCTCAGGATAGATACTTTGCATTCAATCTGTTCTCAGATATTATTACACACCTCTGGAGCATGTGAGACTGCAACCTGGGTCTTCTAGATCAGGTGTGGGGACACTACCACTGTGCCACAAGAGTCTAGTTCCTCAAGATAGCTCCTGATGCCCAACCATCATCAGTTATCCATCAATGACCATCCTTCTATCCTAAGGATAGAAATGGGGATATTCACCGATGATCACACAATGTTCAAAACCATTCACAAATCCTCAGATACTGAAGCAGTCTATGTCTGCATACAGCAAGACCCAACCAACATCTAGGTTTGGGCTGACAAGTGCTTAGTCATATTCATGCCACATAAGTGGCAGACACGATCTTCAATGAGAGAATTTGAACTTTGACTTTTCATATTATATGGGTTTACCTTCACTGAATCCCACAATATCAACATCCTGCAGTTTACCATTGACCAGAAAGTAAAATGTACTAGCCACATAAACACTGGCTTCAAGCATAGATCGGGGGTATGGTCCTGCAGCAACTAATTAATTTCCTGACTCCACAGTGTCTGTTTACCATTGCAGCGCACAAATTAGGAGTGCAATGGAATACACCATGCTTGCTTGGAAGAGCACAGCTTCAACAACACACAATAAGCTTGATACCATCCAAGACAAAGCAGGCACCTTGATTGGCACCAGTTCCACAAACATTTACACACTATATCACTGGCATACAGTAGCAGCAGTACATACAATGCACTGCAGCAAATCACCAAGTCTCCTTGAACAGCCTCTTCCCAAACCCACAATCGCTACCTATCTAGAAGGACAAGGGCAGCAGATACACAGGAACACCACCAGCTGCAAGTTCCCCTCTAAGCCATTCACCATCTTGACTTGGAATTATATAATCTTTCCTTAACTGTTGCTGCGTCAAAATCTTGGAACTTTCTCCTTAACAGTACTGTGGATATACTTGGGCCAAATGGACTGCAGTAGTTCAAGGTGGCAGCTCAACATCACCTTCACAAGAGTAACTAGGGATGGGCCTACCCAGTGAAGCACATATCCTCTATAAAGTTTTAAAGTTGTCATGGCTAGAGGATACAAAACAGAAATGCCAAAAAATAAACTATTCTCTTCTAAATCTTTTGTGTTTAACTATGGTTTCTTTTTTAAAATGGACAACATAAAATGGGCAACCCATAATAGGGTTGGAGTTGTAGGACCAAGTTTCCAGATGCTTCTAAACTCATTGCGTTCTAAACACATTCTAGTTAAGGCTGACACAAAGAATTGAGATACAAGCCATCTTTTCTAGTCAGTTCTGGACGAAAAGGAATGTTAAGATACATATGCTGAAATGGACGCTAACTTTCACAGCTGTCTGATTAAATCGCACTGGAAATTGTACAGGAGATGCAAAACTCCACCATCAGCATAATGACATTTCAATTAGACCAACAGTACTACAAGTCAACGTTCTTATCATATGTCTACAATGGAGCTGATTTAATTGTTTAAATGCACAATTCTGGGAATCTAAGTCAGATACACTATGACCTCCAGAGGACTCCAAGCTGATTTGACAGCCCGTAACAGACTCTTAATTTCTGTCTCCAAGTTATAGGCTGGGAAGGATCCTACATTTCCACCTGCAAGAAGGAAAAAATACTGTGCCACCCTCACCTAATCAATTATTGGATATAAACTGATCTTTACTCCCTCTGGATTTACCAAAACTTGTAAATTATAATCTATCTCCTTCCTGTCTGTCTTCCCTAAATTCCTTAAAATCTTCCTTAATTTTGCTTGTGGGTACGAATTAGCAAAGTAAGTTCCTTCTGTCTCTCTGAATGTTTTTCTAATAAACCTTATATTTGACTTCATCTTAGAAGATTTATATACTGGATCCAAACAATGTTATTTTCTAAAAGTAAATCAATCCAATTTGCATTTCTCAATGTCAAAACAGTCACACATCCTGAAGACTGTGCCTTCTAATATAAATATAGATGTGGTTGGCACGGCTGACACAAAAAACTGCCAAGATAGATACAATGTTAAAAATAAGTGTCTTGGAAAAATTTATTCATTAACTGCAAGGATTGGTCTCCACAACTCCAATGTTCTCCTTCTGGACATCTAAGCTTTATCTCAGGACTCCAATCGTGACATTTGGAGCGTACTTAACAACATATGTCACTAACCTCAAAAGGCCGCACCAAAATAATTTCACATAAATAGTGTAAACAAAGGAATATTACAACAATTCATTTCAAAAGAAGTGCTGACATTGACTTGTTAATTTGTTCTGATAAGGGCTCACTGGACTCAAAATGTTCAATCTGTTTTTTCTCTACAGATGCTCTATTGATGACGCGGATTTCACGTTCAGTGAGGTGGTCACACCGCAGGTGAAGACTGAACAGACAGAAAAGGAATGGGTGACCATCAGGCAGAACACAGCAAGGTAGGTAATGCAGGAGTCCCATGTTCATCACCCATTCTAACAGCAATACCATTTCCAATGATGGCACGGTGGGTCAGTGGTTAGTACTGCCGCCTCATAGTGCCAGGGACCGGGGTTCAACTCCATCCTCAGGCAACTGTCTGTGTGGAGTTAGCATATTCCGTACATGTCTGCGTGGGCTGGCTCCGGTTTGCTCCCACAGTTCAAAGATATGCGGGTTAGGTGGATTGTCCATGCTAAATTGCCCATAGTGTCCAGGGATGTGTAGGTTAGGTGGATTAGCCATGGGAATTGCAGGGATAAGGGGGGAGGGTCAGGCCTGATGGGATGCTCTTCAGAGAGTCAGCATGGATTTGTTGGGCCGAATAGCCTCTTTCCACACTGTAGGGATTCTATGATTGTGCAGGAGAAAGCAGTGGAAGCCAACTTTATGGCACAGTGGGTGGGTCTGCTGCACAAGAGGGAAGGAAAGGAAAAGCAGTGGTAAGGAATTCAACCGTAAGGGGAATAGACAGGCATTTCTGTAGGCTCCAGAATAGTAAGTGGCCTCCTTGGTATCACAGTCAGGGTATCACTGAACTGCTGCAGAGTATTTTGAAGGGGGAAGAGGAAAACAGAAATCAGGGTACATCCTGGTACCAATATAGTAGGTAGAATAAAGGGATGAGGGAAGACCGGAAGTAAATTACAGAAGAGGACTCAATAGGTAGGGCATTAAAAACAAGAGTTCAGCAATGATATAAAACTGTAAAATATTGAGAGTTCAGAGGGGAATCATAACAGATTTCACAGGCAGAGCAGTGAAATGGCCAGTAACTTGACAAATTAAATTTAGTGAAAAGAATCAAAGTAATACATTTTGTTATGAACAATGAGGAGACACAATAGATATAGCAAAATTGTTTAAGGCCAGCATGAATGTAGCAACCTAAGCTATACACACACACTTTACAAGTGGCAAGATAAGCCAAGAAGCCTGTTGAGTATTTGGCTTTGCATTGGTTACAACAGTCCATAGGTTAAGTTAAATCTTTAATAGTATATTGATTAGGACTTAGCTGGTTCAACATCACTTTTTCAAGTATAATTAACTGTCAGCAACAAATTGCCAGCAGTACTCAAATCCCATGACAGAACATCAAAGAATAATTCCAAGCACTACATTTTTAGCAGATATCAATGCCTCAAAGCGTGCAGAAGAGAATCACAAAACAATGTAAACTTTAATTTAAATGACTGGAGAATGATGGGGGCTGTTCTCCTCCAAATAGTAAAAAGGAGATTTGACAGAACTGTTCAATATCATGAACAGTTTTGATAGAATAAACAAACTATCCCTCGTGGCAGATGAACAGTGCACAGATTTGACGATTGGCAGAAGAACACGAGAAGAGATAAGGGAGCTTTTTTTTTTAAAATGCAAAAGGTTACGATGATTTGTAATACACTGGCTGAAAGGTTAACAAGAACAGATTCAATTGCAACTTTCAGAAAATAATTGGATAAATACTTGAAGGAGAAAAAACATTATTAAGGAAAGAGCAAGCAATATTATGATTCCAAATTAAATAATGGCTGTGAAATGGGACCCTTGGGTCACATGAAAGAATCAGGGACCAGGGCAATAAAGAGTCAACACCAGCCTAAAAACACATAGCAACATCTGTAGAGATAATAAACCTACGAAGAATGAGACACAAAATGTTAATGGCGTTATAAACAACTGAATGCAATAACATACCTAGGTGCACCCTACCTTGTGCAATGACAGGAAGACAATACCTTGAAATAACAATTAAATGAAACTGAACAATCTCAGAAAAATGAGACTAACCACTTAACTCGTGATAAAACTGAGGAAACAAGTTTCAGGTATATCTGTGGCCGGCATGAACCTTGCATACCCAGCCATGATAGGCTGAGTGACTATGTCAAACATGTCAACTGGTCTGAGTAAATATAAACAAACCTTGTATCCATCACTGTTCAGAGAGACTAACTGTAGAGAGTTCAGCAGGGGCTAAACAGAGGCTCAACTCTCCCATGCATGTTCATCGA